GACGTAGTGTATCTTCAGGTACAGTACTCTCTTTACACCTCCCTCTACCTCCTTGGATATTGTATCTATTGTGAGCAGTCCATATGCTATCTTCTTTCTTCCCCTAAATTCCATCTGTGGCCTGAGTCAGGAAATGAATAGGCTGGAGAAGATTCATTTCCCAATATATAAACTCAAAAATAAAACATTTGGTGTATTTAGCCTTTACAAAAGGATGCATCGTCATAAGATATCAAGAATTAGCCAATTTTCCTTTAAAAAAAAAAACCCGTGAACAAACAATAGGTGATTTTCCAAAAACACCTAAACAACTTTTACAAAAAAACAAAACAAAAAAAACCACACACACACACACACCAACCACAACACACAACAACAAAACCCACCAAACAAACAAAAACCAACCCACTGTGAAAAGCAACACCAAGAAAGCAAATTCTTATCCCTCTCCAGCACCACTTTTTTAAGAGGGGAAGATATCTTTCTTCATAGTTTAAGGACTGCATATAGGAGAATGATTAAAACACAAAACTTAGTAAGTCCATTTAAATAAAAAGTTAAATACTTACTGCGTAAGAGCCTATGAGGAATGCAGCATTTGCTTGCTTTTTCTGATCAAAGCCAGTATAATGAATTATTTTCTTCCTTATCAATGTAAATGACTGTATCAAGAAATGAACAACAGTGTTATAATTTGGCAATTTGAACTTATAACTGTATAGCCTTATAAAAAATAATTTTGAAATCACTGCAGCAGAACCACCACCAAACAGTATTTGACCTCACTGGAAATAAGATTTCCAAAATTAATTCCAATGGTGGCAATGCCTTTCTGGTGAATATACAATCAAGTGTGTTATTCCATTTTCAATCCTGAGAAATGCTCAGAATCCATACAGGATCAGGGCTTTAGTATACTGGTTGATAAGAAAGCATCAAATCTGTTGAAAATCCAGTTTCACTGAACCCATGTTAAGCCATTCTAAATGAGAGTGACAGAGTGAATGAATGTGGGTATTTTTTTTCTTCTTTACACAAATATGAAATAATTTTTATTATGAAAATAGTAATTTTATAATGAAAGAAAATGATACCACATTCTTTTTGGTGGTATTTTCTTCAGTTATTTTATGTATTATAATAAATATTAAATGTGACATTGACTCATTAGAAAGTTTGTCGTTATTTTTAAAAAATGTACACAAGTATTTCTCAAAAACTGCAAATCTTAAAACTTAAGTTTCCACAACTGACCTTAAATCTTGCCCTTCATATCTGCCCCAATATCTTCCTCTCTGGTATTTAAATTCCCTCATTACCAGTTCATTTTCATTAGTCCCATCATTATGTAGCATTAATATTGTCTTCTCACAGGTTCCTGGCAACTCACAGTGCCTATTTGAGCTGAAACTCATGCTCAAATTCTGACTGCATCACCACAGGCAGCTGTTGAGAGCCAGAGATGAAGGCAATGGGCTGAAGTCCCAGCTGCCACTAGCAGAGGCTACTGCTCTAATTGCTGCCTCCTCCAGTCATCAGTCCTATATGCTTTGCTGTCAGTGAAGAGGACAGGTGCAATCCATGACGATAGGCAAGGAAAGGGAAGCTGGACCTGGATCGACAGATCCTACTCTCACCAACAATTAGTAACAAAGGTGTGAGCAACAGGCAGTGGGAGAAATGATCCAAGGACTTTGTGTCCTCCCCGTTCCCTTCTCTCCAGTTTGTAGGGAGTAGACCAGGGGTGGGCAACAATTTTTGATAGGGGGTCACTCCAAGACTTTGGAAAGTGGTCAAGGGCCATACTCTTCCATATTAATGGAGGAGGTGTGGGGTCTGGGAGGGAGTTTGGGTGAAGGAGTCAGTTGTGACCTGGGGTAAGGGACTAGGATGCAAGAGGGATTTGGGCTGTGACCTGGGATAGGGGTGCAAGATATGGGAAGGGATATGGGGGGGGGAGGGGAGAAAGAGGGTTTGGATTATGTGGGGTGGAGGGCAGAGAGTTGGAGTGCCAAAGGTAGGCTCTGGCTAGGAGATTTACCCGCTTGACTCCTAGCTAGCAGCCTTCGCAAGTAGACTCCCTGCCTGCCCCAACCCCACATAGGCTCAGGGGCCATCTGATTTTGAATAGCTAGGAGCTTGAGAGGAAGATGCTTTGCAAGCTGTCTGTTGACTGGCCGAATGGATTGTGCTAGGGGTAGGAGCACCATGTGAAGGCTCATAGCTGTTCAAACAAAGCCCCACACAGGAAGTGGGGGGGGGGGGCAGGCAAGGAGTCTGCCTGGGGCTCCCCGCTGCATTCACAGGCCAGATCCAGCAGCTTTGGTGGGCAGAATCTGGCCCCCAGAAGATATTTTGCCCATGCCTGGAGTAGACTCTTGCCCAATTGCACTCTCTCCTCCTTTGTTTCTCCCATTGCCATGTGAAAGGAAATTGTGTGTGGGCAATATATGGGGACAGGGAAAAGCAGAGGGAGCTGAGCAGAGGTAAACTCTCACTATTTTAATTGCACTTTTTATGGGTTCTCTTAAAGCTCTTTGAGTCTAAAAATTACATTAGATTTATCTTTCATTTAAAAAAAGTTTCTAGAAGATGGAGAAAACCTTGAAAACTATGACCCTTAAAAGCTCAAAACCAGAAAACAAGAATGGACCACCCTAAAAGTACTCATTAAAAGCAAGTAATTTGAGGGAGGGGGGTTGACTCATGATTTTTAAACACCTGGAATTAGTAGTAAGATATCCTGAAGGGAGAGAGGAGTCCAGTGGCAGCATAGCATGAGGTGGGGGTAATGTCCACTGGGCAGCGGGAGCTCCAGGAGGCTTCAAACAATACCATAGGAAGGTATTAGCCCCACCTATCAGCCAAAAAAAGGAAGTCTCCTAATATGTATTCATTGCCAAGTCAGGAATTCCGAAATTAAATCTGCATACACAAATAGGGACAATCCCACCCACTACTTCAAAAATCTGAGAACAAACCATAAATCCAATGCACATTTAAAAAAAAAAAACTTTTTAAAATGTAGTCACATGAACATTTTCATCTGCCTCCTGGCTTTTGAGCTCGTGGAACAGGCAACTCACTCAAATAAGCCTAACTGAAGTTGTATAACGTATACTGGATTTCTCAGCTGAATGAAGTAAGGGCTACAAGAAGGTTATTTATGGTTAGCAGCCTGAAGCTTCCCTGCATCAGAGTATTTTGGCAAAAATTAAGTCTATCAGTCCTTCTGAGACAAGCCTTCCGCTGCTATTGCCCATGACCCCAGAAGCAGACACTGCTCCTCTCTCCTTCATATTTACACAAATGTGTTCCCTAGTATTTCTTAAACTTCCATCTCCTTCAGTAAAACTCTCATTCTAAAAAAAGTTTAAGTACATTGGGGGCATAGCAAAAGGTAACTATACGGGCTCATATAGGATATGTCTACACAGCAGTGTTATTTCAGAGTAACTGACGTTATTCCAAAATAACATAGTCCGCGTCTACAGTACTTAGCCCTGCTGTGTAGATGTGTCCAAACTGATAGAGAATGCTTGCAGTTTCTACTAGTAGCACTGCTGAAAAATGTCATGAAGTCTAGAATGGGTATCTGAAGGAAATGTTAGGAGATTAAGATTATACTGCAGCATCTACTCAGCCCAAAAGTGGAGGGAGGAAAAAATGAACACTGCTAGAAATAAAAAAACAAAACCAGCAGCTAGGTAGGTGGCTGTTCCTGGAAGATATAGGCAAGCAAGAAGCAATGCCAGCAAGGACAACAGGTAAGGCAGGAATTCTGGGATGTCTCCCATAAAGTTAAAAGCAGCCATAACACAGTAACTCCCATGGCAAATTCATATTCCGAAGCTAAGCACTGCAAGAGAGGAGTCTATAGAATAGTAGACCTTTGGCAATGTTCTTAAAACTCTACTAAGACCTGAATGAGAATTCAAAATAGCCACATGAAATTACTCCCATATTTTTCAATTACCAATTATTGTCCCTATGCACGAGAGAGAAAATGGTCATAAGCATCTCAGTCCCATTTTCAAAAGTGAGGTAGACTTAAGATTCATTTTAGTTAAGGGTCCTTGACAAGATTTTCAAAATAGTCTACATTTTTACTGCAAGCTATTTCTATGATATAGCTTGCAAAGAAACCTTACAATAATTTCCAAAATATGAATTGTATCCATATTTTAAAGTTCTAAATCAGAAGCCACTTGTGTTTGAGTTACTTCAAATTTTGTCAAACTACAATTCTTCCCTATTATACATCTTATTTGGGTGGAGACAAAATTGGAATTTCAATAGAAAATTGCAACCTTATTAATGAAGTGATGGCATATTTTAAATGTGAACAACAGTTGAATAATTTCTCTGATCAGACCTTTCTTTTAGCTAAAAATACCACAGCTTAAAAGTGAAATGAGTCACTCTAATACCACTACAATCCATGAAGGATGAGGACAGCAAATTCTAATCTATCCGAAATCATCCTTAATAACATCTAGCATGCATGTATACTACTCTCATTTAAAAATAATCATAATAGGGATGCTTCTGTGGAATAATTTTCAAGCACAATCAGAGCAAACTGTCAAGCCTAAGCAAGTCCACCCACTGTGCTGTTATGTGGCACAATGAATCTGAAGCAGACAGCTTGACACCACTGCTACACAGCAAGGAGCATTAAAAGAAATCTTAGCATTTTGTAAAGAAATACTGTATTTCATACTTCCAGTTCTCACAGTTCAGTGCAGGGTTTCAAAATCTGATTAACAGACTCTTGAATAAGAGCCATCTGACTTAAAAAATCTTATTAAAATGATCTGCCTAAAACATTTTGCACTCCAACTTGTTAGAGATTGACAAACTTGCATGTATCCCTTAATATAGAAAATGTAAAACTTATTTTGATTTAAAGAGATACTATAAAACAGTGTTTCTCAACCTTTTTAAAAAATATATATATTTTAAAAGGGGTACTTTATATATAAGTACCCACAGAGCCAGGAACCTCCAGTCTACCCGCTCTAACCGAATGCACCCACCCGTCCCCCAGCCCCAGGCATCCCCAGCCCCCAGCTCTAATCCAACGCCCTTCCCCTCCCTCAGAGCCAGGCACTGGACGTATGGTAACCCTACCTTTGAAGTGCCTGCTCCCACCCCTCAGCTCTGCCTCAGGAGCCTGTCTGCAGGGAGCAAGTAGCCTGCGAGTGCCGGGCTTGCCGCATGGGGCTGTGCGCTTCCACCCTAGCCCGGCACTCCCCTAGCAAGGTGCCTGGGGGCAACTGCCCCCCTGCTACCACTCGCTATACCACTGATGTGGAGAGATCCTTTGGAGAAATGCTTATTGTGCCACTTCACCACCTTTTAGCTCATCTCCGTAGCTCCATGGGAAAGGGGCATTGGGGATGCGTTGTACTGAGCAGCTAGCAGGGGTGGGGGTAATGCGCGTCTCCAAGTTCAGCCGCCCTCCCCTCTGGAGCACCCTGGGCAGGCTGCTGGAGAGGAAATGAACTAGGAGAGGCGACCATAGAAGTGATTTTTTTTCCTCCCTGACCAAAACTGCCCCCCCAACGTGCAACTGCCCTGGGTTTCACTGGAGCCACCGCCTCCGTAGCCACATGCTTTTCCCATCAGGCGCTGGGGCGCATGCACAGAGTGGCTGTTGACATCTGGGCATGCGGCTCTGAACATTCTTTTTGACAGGCACATGCCACTGCCCCCTCCCTGATCCCCTTTGCAGGGCAAAATCCTGAACATTTTTTGCCAAATTCCACTTGTGTTGAGGTACCCTCTCCCGAGATTTCTCTTGCATACCCCTAAGGGTATGCGTACCACTGGTTGAGAAACACTGCTATAAAATGTAACATCAACCAAGAGTCCAATTCTGAAAGGTACTGAACTGAACACATCCTCAGAGGCAGGAAGTACCTCAACTGCAAGAGTGAGGATACTCAGTAACCTTGAAGGACTGAGCCCTAAATATGTTTTCATAAAGCAAATATGGCTCCCTATAGAAATGTTGTGAAGACCAAAAGATAAATACAAATCCAACAGAAGCCAAATCAAATCAATGTGTCTCTCACAGAGCTCTGGAACTGGCGATACCCTGGCAGATTGCCAGGGTGACTGAATTCCAGAGGAGGGGGCCTTTTACTGAAAGAGACCTTTGCACACTAAAAGTTCTAGTGGTTTCTAACAGTATCAATACTTAGAAGTTGCACTTTCACAATAAATTGTTGTACAACTACTATGTCCTAAAGACAAATAGTTCTCCTCTTCCATCCCCTCACTGCATCTAATCCCTCCACTCTCCTGAAAATATAATCTGGCGAAATATGAAAACAAATATGTACTACAGACAATTTAGTATAAACACCCAAAACACAAGTCTCGGTAGCAATCTATGAATCAATCTATACATATTTCTCAAACAAAGAACATTTTCTTCATCTCACCATTTTTACAAATGGCCCACTTTCAATACTTTATATCTATTTGATACAAAACAATTTTTACCTTTAATTTCTTATTTAGCTTGCAACAATATCTGTAAACCATTGCCAGATTGAGAGGTCCAAAATCTGCGTAGAAGCTTGTGGGGAGAGAAAGAAAGAAAACATTTTGCTTGTACATGTTCTGTAGAAATAATTTTACATAAATTCACATGCACCAAATGAAAAAAATATATTATACTATGTACAAAACTTCTTCTAACTGCCTTCTTGCATACTGTAAGTATAATGCTGTAGTTTTTCATTAGCTTTTACAACTTTATTTTTATAAATTTAATTTGCTTTCTTCTCCACACAAGAACTCCTAAAAGGTCAATGTAAAAATTGAAGTGATCAGACTTTTGAAATAAAGTTCACAGTAAGATAACATTTTGGCATCACATTAGGAACTTTTGATTTCAACAACAATGCAAAAGCATGCCCTCAAAAATAAAGTTATTAATTAATTCCATAATGCTTTAGCTTTTAAATATAGTGCCAGCAATGAAATTCATATTTACTTATTAATCCTCAAACCACTTTAATGCTTAGTGTATACAAAGTCATATTGAAATACATCACTACCAAGGGGAAGGAGAGCATACAAAATTTTAACCAAAAACATCCTTATTTTTTCAAAAGCACTAAGGGATTTTTAATATCCATGTAAGGTGTCAAATAAAAAAAAGTCCAAGTCTTATCAGAGATATCTGCACAGTTCATTGCAGAGTACTTAATGCACCTATGGTTGGGGTCACGCACAGGGATGTGAATGTATAACAGTGTAAACAGTTAACCAATAAGCCTGAGCTCACATTTACATGCCCTGCAGCTGGAGAGCCGGCTGCCTGTATCAGAGGAAACAGCCAGCTTCCCAACAGAGGGACTGCAGGCAGGAGCCAATGTGTGCTGGGAGCTGGCTTAAGAGCTGGCTCCTAGCAAGCCGGCTACCACCCTGCACTGCTGCCTTTGTAGCAGTGCAGGGCAGCACCTGATTCCCGGGAACCCACTGTGGATGGGCGTAACCACTGAGTTTTTCAGCGGTTACACGTTTACACAATTACCCACATTTTAATATCTCTAGTCATAAAGTATTGAGTCAGCAACTGCCAAGTTTTTGAGCCATCCATTATTCTAGAACATATTCTGGCCCTGGTATTGGGAAACTAGAAACTGTTCCTGGCTAAATATTTCATTTAATGCTTCTGAATTTGTTTTATCTTGTTCCGAAGTACTCCAATATCTTCCAGTAAGAATGATGCACAAGAAAGAAAGTGAAATTTTCAAGACAAAAATTAGCAGGAAGCCATCAGGCCCCCACCCTCACAGGTATAAACTCTCATTGCAAGTGAAATTAGCTGGCACTAGTCCCATATACTAGTTTTGAGAATAAACACCATACATAAAAATGTTATACAGATAGAAGTTTAACTACCACTAACAACAGGATAAGAATTACTTCAATTGCTTATTAGTGCTTTTCTTACCAATTTACCACAATGTTCTGTAGAATACAAGAATAATGACGGTACTTACTTCTCGTATACAAGTTCATCATCTATGCAGAAATAGTGTGTATTTGCAAGACCACTCTTTGGTTTTTGGCAGAGAATTGCAAAATAAAGGCGACCTGAAATGCAAGAGATTTTAAACTAATACTACCCTTAACATTACAAATTTTCACAAAAAACTTGAAATGTCTCTCTTACATGTAATGATTTTAAATGGTCACAATCTACTATCACATTTTCCTTTGTGGGTTTCTGGATTAGACTTTTTTTTTTCAGGTGCTAAGCAACAAGGATGACAATGATTACGTATGAAGGCCATGTTTTTAGTTACCGAACAAACAGTTTAAAACTTGTAATTTAGTCAAAAGCTCTCTGGGGTTTTCCTTTGGCAAACAAGTCGTTCAGAGAATAACCAGATTGCCCCCTCACAACTAGTTTGGGATACTTTCTTCATCTCTCTATATATAGATTTGGCTACTGGTTACTGTGATTCAGAGAGGTGCAAACAAAACAACCAACCAACCAACCAACCACACACAACCTAGACATTCCTCATTATAGAAGTTTTAAACAAGATATTTTCAGTTAATTAGGGGTGTGATGGTGAAGGTGGGAGGAGAGTAAGAAGTTACCAAGAGAGAAAAGTGAAGCATTGTAAAATCCACAGGTCTTCGATAAATGACAAATAGAAAAAGGAGGTCTCAAGTTTGGGCCCTTCCTGTGAGATTTCTTTGTCTATCAATGCACATGCCTTTGTTACGTAACAAGTGCTTTACTATTAACTTTTAACTAACGTAGGTAAAATATCAACAAGCTGCAGAAGGCCAGGAAGTTACAGAGAGCTACGTTTATTGCCTCCCAAATCCCGTTTACAATAATTCACAATAGTTCAAAGAAAAGAAAACGCGTTTTGTTTCAAAAAAAGCAAACTCGACAAAGCGGTGCAATGAACGTTATGATGATGCCGCTGGCATGATCTCCTTGTTCACATGCTCGACTGCGAAACGAGTTTCGAAAACTTGTTTCTGGAACAAACAAAAAATTACAAACGAGCATTTTAAGTTGCTCACCTTTGATGAACTCCACAGAGGGGCGCGATTCCTTTCTGACGCTCATCGCTTGCTAAGTGGGGTCAGCCCCCACCCCCAAGGTAAGCGAGCCCGCAAGCAGCCTGGCTGTGTTTGTCACCGGAGCCTGACAGCGACGAAGAAACGAAAGCGCCCCTCCCCGCAGAAGCTGAAAGATCAAAGTGCAGCCTAGCGTGTCTGAGCCCCGGGGTGTCTGCCCCGCAACCCTTCAGCAGGCACCACGGCTAGAAGCGGGACGCCAGCAACTGACGGGCTCGGCCCGCATCTTTCCCCTCCCTGAAAAGAGAGTTTTCAGCTCCGGAAGCGGCGTTACGGGCATGAAACCAGAAGCGTCTTGGGCCCCACCGAGCCTGCTGCGCACACAAGACAAGCCCCAGCGGTCTGGGGAGAGAAGCAGAGCGCTGAGCGCACGCCTGGGGAATCCTGCCCCTGCGGGCTGTGAGCGCAGTCCTCCCATCGCAGCCATTGGCCGCGGCGCAGTAGGGCCAGCTCCCCTCCGTACGCCAGAGAGAACAGCTCGCCAAGGGAAGCCCCACCCCACGGCTCGGACCGCCCGGCTTGGCGGCTGCTGCGCCTTCGCGCACGGGCAGCTACAGCTCTAAAGCCACCGCGGTAGCGCTCGCGGAGCGTTGTCCACTTCCCAGCGCGCTCCTGGCCTTGTATCGCTAAACGCGGGCCTTCGCCCTAGACAGTACGGCGTGACTTGAGCTAACCAACGCGCTGCCAGCTAGCCACCTGCCTGCCACGCAGGTCTGTGCCAGTTAGTGTGGTCCCGTTGGTGCCCCCTGCCAGCGGTGCGCTCTGCTCCGCATCCCTCGCTACGCCTAGGGCCAGGGCCTTCCAAACACAGCAGCAATGCGGCCACTGTTAAAGACACTGAAGTACTCGTGAGTCATTTTCTCTCGGCTCAAAACAATGGTGAGTGCCCAAAAAAGAAACGACCCCTACCCCACGTCAAACCATTCATTGGTCTGAGAGTGGGCCTGCGGCTCACGATTCTCGTCAGTGACCACCTGTAGAAGCAGCATCGAGGGGTTACAAAAAGCACACCCAGCCTTCCTCACGCTAGAGGAGCTGCTCCAGTTGCAACTTTTTCTGAGCTGTGAGAAGGCTCCACTACACTCCCAGAAGCATAGGTGCTGGAACTAAGGGTGCAGAGGTGTGTGCCTTGCAGCACCCGGATGGAACTGACTAACAGGGGGTTCAGAAATCAGTAGTTTGACACCACCCCTGAAAAATGTTGCCCAGTCAAGAAGACATGATGGGCCAATAGAAAAAGGAATCCTTGTTACAGTGAGTAGCAGCTATTTAAAGATAAAAATGTGTGCCTAATTATTTTCACATTTTGTATGGTTAACTTTAAAAAAACAAAGCAAAACACAATTGCCATAGATTTATATCAGAATTGGTTTTATATGGATGCTGTATTAGTATCAAAGTGAACTTCAAGTTTTGAGTAGGTAGCAGTAGTATGTTGCATTGCCCCAGGTACTCAGGCCATAAAAACTGGAGCCTTGCAGCAGAATAGCAATATTTTATTCTTTTGGGGAAAAAACCCACAAACCTGTAAAATTTGAATGTACTGATAAAATTTGAGCCTAATTATGGAATTTATTTTGTGCCCGTTTAAAATGCATGAAATGGTCAGATTTATTGTAATATTAAAATAGGCCATCTCTGAATAAGTGTAAATGCATATTTTTTTATAAAATACACTGCTTTGGGGGTTTTCCCTTGCTCAAAGATTCTGCTCCTTCAGCTATTACATATTGAACTAAAAATCTTCATTTACTGTAGCCTTACTAACATCTTGAAATCTTTAGCTCTTGTTGTAAAACTGTACTAAAAGCAATGTATATAAGCCAACATTTGACCTGACAGTACAAGTCAGTCCCACTATTTTTGATCCTCAAATGAAATTGTGAAATGCACAATCAGAACTGCAAAATAGCATCTGCATTTTAAAACATTGGCAGTATATAAAAGGGATTTTTATATCTTCAAGCCAAAAGAATTTAAATATTCAAAAATATCCAAGTGACTTAGGAACCTAAAGGCCAGTTTGAAAGAAAATGTAGGTACCAAAAGATGTAACAGGCACCTAGCAGGATTTTACAAAAGCTCTACATGATTATGTCTCTCTTGAAAATGTCACCTCAAAAGTGTGTACACTTGAACAAAAAGAATGACTTGTACTGTGTATCATATAGTTTTGCCACTCTTGCATGTACAGGCCAAATGTTTAGTGTCATTTAATAGTTCTGCTTTTTAACAGATTTGCAGCAAAATAACAGTTTTTTTCAGAACTTGTTTCACTTAGCCAAGATTTTTTGCAGTGCACAGATCCATATGTTTGCATGCTAATATGAGTATTAATCAATGCTTAATTTTAAATTGCATTAAAATTTTGCAGTGTCTGTTTCCCTCAGAATTAGAATTGATTTAAAAAACTACAGAATCCAAAGTTTAGTTTTCCTATTAGTGATGATAATCCATAGACATTGTTAGAATTCTTGACTGGTACAACATAATGATCCACTCAATTAGTTTGCAAAGCTTAGTTGGCACTGCAGCCAAAAACTTATTGATTAGATTGGAACAGCTTCCATTCTCTTGTGTCCACTCATTCTCTCATGCATTTGTTTCTAGATGAAAATCAGTTCAATCTTCTTGATGCATAAAGGAAGACAACTTCTTTTAACAAAAAAAAAAAATCCTAAAAAACAACAAAAAAGCCCACCACTAATTATTTATTTTTTGTTAGTTGCTAGTGTGGTTAATGTAGATATAAGCAAGCAAAATAGAGGCCTCCCGTCAACATTTTCTAAAACACATGGGCTTTAAGTTCGCCTCTTAGAGTCTGTACTTAAGGATAAACCTTAAGTTTAATGGTAGCCTATGGGGAGAATTGGCTTGCAGAAAAATCAGTGGGCACTGAAAATCTAAATAAGTCAGTGACTTCTGAAAATCAGATCACTTGATAAGGTATATAAACTCATGAGCCTAACTTTAGGCATCTGTGTTTGAAAATATGGGTCTTTCACTCTAATACAAATCCTTAAGTTAGCTTGGAAAAAAAAATCTATTGTCAAATGTTGATCAAATGCTTACATAGTCTATAAGCTATGCTAAATGTCAATTCTGGGGAAGATACAGTGTATACAAATAAGAGTGTTTCTTCAAGTATAACTTATATTACTAGCTCCCTGAATTAAATAAGCTCTACCAACAAAGGAACTTTTTCACTGTTGTAACTGCATCTAAGACTGTTGTTGGCCTACCTATGTCAGTCATGGATGGGAGAAAAGTCAGTCACACACTGACTGACATAACTTTTGCTGGCAAAAGTTAAGCATAAATTAGGTCTTTATTGTACATTAAAGAAAAGTTATTTGTACCTTATTTAAATACATTCACTTGGAGTGTAAGCCTACATTAACTCATATGTTCATTCTAACCTTAAGAGTTCCTACCACAAACAATTTTAAATGATTGACTGGACAGTCTCTAATACTGGTGTTACAAATGCATTTTTTCTTACTGAGTCCTGTATAAGTAGTTTCCACAACCTATAAAAATAGACTCAATATTTGGCAGGCCTTTTACCCCTTTATGGCCACTCAAGAAAAGGACTCAATTTGCTTAAAAACACAGATATTTAGGTTTCACATAGTTAACACAGTATAACAATAGTGCATAATAAAATAGAAACAACAGCTTAATAACCCATGTATATTGTTCACCCAAAATCTGAATCCCATTTAACATTGTTTCATATTAAAACGAGTAAGTATGAAATGGAATTCAAATTATGGGTGAACAATATGCATGGACTATTAAATGATTGTTACACCTATATTAATCAGTGCTATCTTTGGATCATTTTAAATTGTTGCTAGATCCAGAACAGCTGAATACATTTAAGAACTGCAATCTTAATATTCCTAATCTAAACATCAGCCTCAGCATTTAATACCACAGGTTTTATTCTGTCAGCCAGAGAAGCTGACAGTATTCACAGTAAACTGCTTGCAATAAAGTTCAGAGTAAGCTCTGTAGTTTAAAGATATTCCCTACTGGGAAATTTAAGAAAGGAATATAAAATGAAGTCATTTCAGAACAGAATTAGGTTCTTTATTTTTGCCTACTCAGATGACTACTCACTACAATGCTGAGTATTTTGACCTCCATGACAATGTCAACAGGATGAGAAACAACTCAAACCTATTTTATTCCAGTTTCCTCAAAAGCATTTCCAGCTCTGGTTTATGGTAACCAAATATTAACTTATGTTTTTAAACAGCACTGTTATACACACTATGAAATTATTACAACTTGATCATGTAAGTGAACCTCTGTGGCTGGAGGCCCTGCACCAAAGCCCCACTGAAATTGCAGTCAGCAGGGTTCTGTAAGGGTCCTGATTGCAGGAGGACTTAAGTCGTCCCCCCCCCCCCCCCACTTATTTGTATAAAAGTTATGAATCTTTTAAAAAAAAAGTTAAAAGCCATGACATTTTGTTTCATTCACAACAAATGTGAAGACTATTTATCATATACATTATTTCAGGAAAAAATAAAGTTATAATGGTGACAAACACTTAATTTTACACTGCCAGAAACTAAGGGGAGCTTGCTAATCTTTGTCAGAGTGATGGAGGAGAAGGAGTGGTTGCCTCACAGAAGGATTTCTTGTCTTTACAGGCAGGCAATGAGCTGTGGAAATATCTATGCAGGATATCAGCAGGATACCAACAACTTCCTGTTCATGATATTTATTTACTGGATTCTGGAAAAGGAATAAATAGCACTTCCTAAAAATATTCTTCTTTCTGTCACCTATAACAATCATGATGTCTCTAGAGATCTGCAAGTCTAAGTCTTTATAGACAAGGCAGCTAATATGCAGCAGAGTTTTAATATTAGACAGCAAGTAAATATGCCCATTCTTACCAGAGACATTATTCTGGTAAAAGAAAGAGTAAAAATTCATTCTGACAAAAGAACAAGTGTAAGTTCTTGAACTTGATGATAAGGCAGGTGACAAAACCCTGCCTCAGAAGATAAATGCATAAGAGGCTGTATGTATTTATATATTAGGGCACATCTAAACTATATTCCTCTTTTGAAAGAGGAATGTAAATGAAGCAAATTGAAAAGTGCAAATGAAGCATGGATTTAAATATCTCACACTTCATTTGCATCTGAGCGCTTTTTCGAAGAAGGGTTTTTCAAAAATGAAAACGCAGTCTAGACAGGGTTCTTTTGGGAAAAAAACCCTTTTTTGAAAGAACCCATACTCTTAATTTTTTCAGGAGTATGGGTTCTTTTGAAAAAGGGTTTTTTTCCTATCAGCCACCTTATAAGGAACTCACTATCACTGCAGAAATCAAAGCCAAGAGAGGATAAAACTGTTGACCACAACAGAAGCCAGGTATCAGCACACTTTCTAAACAAGAGTTTGAGAATACTGGTTGAAATTAAAGTTAAAAATACATTGTTTGACAATACATAGGATGTTTTCTAGACTTATCAAATTTGTTTCACAATCATGGTCCTACTTTTGCTAAAATTATCTATCATCCCTGTTCTCTGCTGTTCCCATATGACGTAGATATGTAAATCAGAAAGGATGGAGTTCCTTTCACTCTATATTAGACAGTATAAACCTTAATCACTTTCTTAACCAAAGAATATTTTGAAAGGGAATGTCTACACAGCAGGGCTTAACTCAAAATAAGCTTCGCAACTTGAGCTACATCAATTGCATAGCTTATTTCAAAATTGGGAGCGTCTACACAGTACTTATTTTGAAATAGTCCTTTTCATGTGTGTTCATTTTTTTAATTGTATCCTTTGGTATATATGGTTGTGACTATTTTCTCCCACTATTTGATCTGAGGAAGTGAGTCTGGCCCACAAAAGCTCATCATCTAATAAACCATCTTGTTAGTCTTTAAAGTGCTACATAGTCCTATATTTTATTTTGAAATAGAGCACTCTTCTTCCGATTTCCCTTACTCCTCCTACAATGAGGGTTACAGGAGTTGTAGTAAGAAGCCCTCCAGCTTGACAGTATTTCAACATTATTTTAAAATAACTACATGCTATGTAGACACGGACTTAGTTGTTTCAAAATAACACTAGTTATTTCAAAATAATGTTGCTGTGTAGCCCTACCCAAATAATCATAAGAAAATAAGGCCATGTTGACAAATGATTGCATGCTTCTCCTGTAATGAGACAGATTTACAATGAAAATTCACTGAAAAAATGTTTACAGATGAGTCTGAA